GAAACCCCTAATTGCGTTGATTTAATATGTTGTTGAGTGCAGACATTATCAAATTGTAGAACTGAGGTTTGTGAGGCACTGGGGATACCTCAGGATCAGTGTGGGTTGTCAATGGGCATGTCTGGTGACTTTGAGCTAGCGGTAAGGAATCATGATCCTCTGATCTCTTTAATTATAAACTAAAGTTTACAGGATTAATGTTGGATCTTTGCAGATTGAAATGGGCAGTACAAATGTGAGAATTGGTTCGACAATATTCGGTGCCAGGGAATATCCGAAGAAGGATAAAAGCCAGTGAACTTCATCTCTCTGGGGTTTATATTCTTTCATGGCATGAGGTCATACATAATAATTATCAGGAGGTTCTGTACCTGCAATGTCTGTACCAGGTGTTGTTATAAGTGTACCTCTCGTACTATATGGTTCTACACTATTTAGTCGTATGTCGGAAAGCTTTTTAAACCTTGGAAATTATTGTCCCCTTGTTTCACATTGGTTTTTTATCATATTAATGTATTGAAAACAAACTAATATGATATAGCGAAGGTGATTGGAAACTATTCTTCAAGACATGATTTATTGTAAATTGAGCATTACCTAAATCATATGTGGAACTGTATGTTAAACTGGTTGGAAGTTCTCGTTTACAAACTGGCTTTTCTGATGGCCGCTTGTTTTCAAGAATGAGGTCAGGGATTTGCTGTATATGTGACCGCCTGTATTAACAAGGTGAAGCAGCTCAGTAATTTATGCCAATTGAACTGAAGAGCAATGTCACACAGTTTTAACTTCCTTTTATGTGGTTGAAGCGAGCACTGCAACAATAATTGGCAGGGACCAGATATACTGCATACCTTCGTTGCTTCGTCAAATAATCTTTTATTGGGGAGATGAGAGTGATCAGGGGACAGGGAGCCGTTCACTGCAGATTCAGCCAGTTCCAAAGCACTTCTGCCATGGGAGCTTTACAAAGCCGCCGCCACCACCACCACCTTTGTCCCAATTTCCGGGATCTGTATGAATTTTGTTCTTTCATTCGGTTTTGCTTAGAATTCTAAGATGACTGTTGTTTTATTTTATTTTTTTTTCTTAATTGTTCCATTTCTTTACGACTTATCAACTGTAATTTGTTCTCTTCTCTAACTAGATTATTTGGTAACCCTCCAATTTACAAGACTAAGTGGTACATATAGAAAGGCATCCCACTCAATATATTAACCATACTAGTATAGACACTGCAAGAATCAAAACAAAAGACAGCCGAAGTAAAGGTAGCCGCGTCTGGCAAGTTCAATAAACAACCCATACTTGAGGATGAAAAGAATGATGGCTCTTCTGCAATAGTAAAATCATGTATAAAAATAATGATTTGATATCACACCATTAACACATATAAATATACAATACAAAGGAAAAGGTAATAGAACAACTCACAAAATGGAACAGCACTAGGGCTCATCAATGCCTTAAAGAATATTTGGATAGGTAATTTTTACCATTTCTGGCGAGACATGCTCAATATCATTAATACACCCAGCTTTCACATAACACATAATACTGCAAGATCGGCTACTATTGTGGATGCGCTTTCATTTATGTCTACAACGCTCATCAATTGATCTCATTATATTCCAAGTATCGTTTGTATTTGCTACAACATTTCTCCAGATAATCTTAAAAGGAGTCGGAGAAAGAATATATCCATAATATTAGCAAACTACTATGGATAACTGGACCTAGTTGAAATTTCTGAGCCCCTCATATCCACCAACTTGATTGATGGTGCAACTTGATTGATGGTGCAAAATGACGATGCTGAACAAATCATCATTGGAAAGAGGATGACTTTAGCTCAAGCGATCACATATCAGAAAAAATTGTACCATGAGTAAAATCTGAGGCACAAATGGCCTGGACAGCTTGCTTTATCGTTGCTCCAGAAATTCTTTAGCAGAAGTTAATATTCCAACACTTCATCAGGAACTTCTAGATGCAAATGCATCTTGGTCGATCCCAATGCCGCTATCATCTACAAATTCCAATCCGCACTAACTTTTGGATTTTATCAAGGCAGCATGCTTCACACTCTTAAGATTCGAGTCAGTTTATACACCTGCCACAA